GTACCTAAGCCCAGCCAAAAGGAGTGCACTTCCCCTTCATAAAATAATGTGACAGAAAGCTCTGTATGAGCAGTTGAGGAAGGTCTAGGCACCCACAAAGCACAGATGGTTTCAGTCTGACACAGGCTAGTACAGGTGGTAAGGAGACTGCCTAGTGAATGTGGAGGGGAGGGGCCTGGAGGCTCCAGAATGAGTGCTGAGGCTGAGATAACAAGGCTGGCATTCAAGGTCCCCAGTGAAAGTCTGATCTACACTGGTCGTGATTCAAGGCGCTTGCCATCCAGTCTCTGAATGCTGGCCACTGTGACATGACTTGGATTCAGACCCTGCTATAGAACTGTCTGTCAGGACTAGCCCTTCTGCTGGTGCTCAACACTAGCCAGGGCTGCATGGTGTACAGAGACTAAATTCCCACCTTAGGCTCATCAGCCCCACAGCAACCTGGTGATGAAGTCTAGGAAGAAGGGGTCCTGCAGGAAGGGCTGGCATAGCCAGGGCATGGTGGGAGAGTCCTGCAGGGCCAGCCTGAGGCAGCCTGATGGGGAAGGTGCCCCCCTTACTTAGACCATGGTAGTTTTGTAGCTCTGGTCTTCAGGGCTGTCAGCACCACACCCGGTCCATGATGCAGTTAGTGCCTTCTCCCTGGCACGGGCAACGGGATTGTTGTAACTAATATTGCTGCTCTCCATTTCTGTTACGTCAGTGTTCCTGGGATCTGGCTGTCTCACCAGCAGAATTAGACAGACTGAATTTGTGCCCAGCCCAGGTGGGATGCTCACTGCTGCAGTCCTCAAAAAACACTGCACTGAGAGCAGCTCACCATACAGCTGGCAGGGTCTGAGAATACTTAGTATTGCATGTAGCTATCACTGAGACTCAGCCCTGGAGTAATGGCTCCCCCAAATGTGGAATTCAGGCATTGTTACTAGTGGGGAATGAATGAAACTGTCCCCACTCCAATTAGAGCTGCCAAGAACCAGTCCCTGAAACAGGACCATGTACTATCCGGTTCTTATGGGCTCAGCCCAGCCAGCCAGAGGGGAATGCTGAGAAGAAGCCTGTTTTGCTTCATGCAGCACAAATACCAAGACACCCTGGGAACAGGACTGCAAGTGCCAGACAGGGATTCAGGCAGTCCTGCACCTCCTCACCTAGTATATCCTTCAACTAGCATCCTTCTACATGGTGCCCAGTGAAGAAATTGCCAACCCAAGGCCAGAAACCTCCCTGCTTCCCCACCCCCTCACCAAACACTGCTCCTAGGCCTTTTTGCTCTTCAAGGGCTGTGTCCCAAGTGAAACCTTTTCCTGTCCCTGCTCTGGAGGTTTCTGATGCATGGGCAGGAAATGGCTCCCCTACCACCCATCTGGAAGGCAATTCTCAATTACCCTTTCTGCCCACAGGTCAGAAATTAAGCAATTGGTCTAAGCCTGCCAGGTGACCAGAAGTAGGCTAAGCTGTCTTGGTGGGTCACATCCTGCAGCCACCTCAGATCTCATTAGTTCCCATCTCCCTCCTCACCAGTGGCTGCTGGAAAGGGAAAAGAGCTGGGTGGCTCAGCTCTGGGCAGGTGGGCAACTGGAGAGATTGAGTGCCTCTCTGGCAGTCAGCCGGCATAAACCTCCTTACTTCTACTTCTATTGTTCTAGAAATCCCTTTGCTTGAGAAATAAATCCGTTTGGACCTTTCCTCCCAGTTCCAGCTGATTTTTTTTTAAAGGTGCCGCTTTTCAGGGAAAGGTATTTACATTTTCCAGCCAGCACCCAGCTGACCAGCCAACATGAAATGCCCTGAGCTGGCACATTCCTGGCCCCTCTCAGGCTCTGCTGTTGCTGAAGGCCATGTCTCAGAGTGAGCATTCCTCAGGTGCTACAGCCTGACCAAAATTCAGGGCCTGCTAGAACAGTACAGGCTGTCAGTACCAGCAGGCTGGAAGAGAGCCCATGTGGAGCTAAGAGCAGCCACAGGAGGCAGAGGGGTGAGCTAATAACACTAAGGGCTTCCATAACTCAGCACAGCCAGAGACATTTATGAGCCTTGCCTTGTCTAGACACCCCTCATAAAGCTGAGAGATGCCCTTTGCACTAAACTCCCAGGCACCACATCCAGGACATCAATTGAAAAATAAAATAGACACGTTAAAGCCTCATAAAATTAATTAGCTCTCCCTTTAAATGAGATGGCACAAATGAGCGCTTCACCAGACTTTAATTAAAAAGACAAAAAGTTACACTGGGCAAAATGGCAGGAGCTCAGCTGGAGCCAAACTGGGTGGCTCTGGGGCACAGGACCTGGGGATAGAACCAGGTCCTGGGTCTGAGCCACCCAAAGCCATTATGCAAAGTCATTGTCCCATAGCAGCTGCCCAACAACATCTGTGGAGTAAGCCGGTGTCTTATTGCAAGTGTCACTGGCACTATAGCACTGACAACCCCTCTGTCAGACAACCCCCTCTGGGATCAGCCAAGCTCAAGGACCCTGTAGGGCTAGGTGACGAAGCTCTCCCAGCTGAACTGGTTTGTTGACTTATGTGATTCTTACTAAAGCGATGCAGAGGACAGTGGGATGCAAATAGTCAGAGCAGGAACTTGCTGCCGTTTCTCAGTGACTTGCTGTGCTTGCCTCACCGTGCAATGCCGCATGGCAGTCCCTGACAACTGGAGTTTAATCAGTCCCCAAGCACTGCCCCGCTATGCCTGGACTCTTTGAAGGTCTTGTCTTTCTGTCCACAGTTCATAGGATCATAGGAAAGTAGGGGTGGAAAAGAACTCATAAGGTCATCTAGTCCAGCTCTCTGCTCAATTCAGGATTATTCCCAACTAAACCATCCAGCCAGCTGTCTGTCTAATCCGCTGTTGAAAGATTCCAAGGATGCAGATTCCACAGCTTTCCTAGGAAGCCTGTACCAAAGCCTATTCCAATGCCTCAGAGTCAGAAAGTTATTCCTAATCTCCAGCCTAAATTTCCCCTGCTGAAGCTTGAGGCTGTCACTTCTAGTCCCTTCCCTGACAGCCACAGAGAAAACCCTCTCTATAATCACCCTTCAGGTATTTGAAGACTGTTATCAAATCTCCCCTTCGTCTTCTCTTCTGCAGGCTAAATAACTCAAATTCTTTCAGTCTTTTCCCATATAGGTCTTATCTCCAGGGCCCTAGTCATTTTTGTTGCCCTGCACAGGACTCTTCCCAAGCTGTCCTGTCTTGTTTCAAACATTCTGAGCTGATTAGACAGATCAGGTCCATCTCAGAAGATACCAATGTAGGGCCATGAGTCATAAAATCTCTCCTGATACGAAGATGGGTCTCCAGACCTGGTGCTCTCCATGTTCATGCCCAGCATGGTCTCCCTACTTTCAAGTAAGAGATAGGCCAAGTCAGGGTGCTGGACAGACACTAGCACCACTCTGCTCTGGGTGCTGGGAACATAGGCAGCAAACAGTGAGCTAGCCTCTCCCCTTCCCAAAAATATGGTAACTAGGAATCAGGCAAAAGCATAACGGTGGCCCAACATAACCTGAATCCAAGACCCGGCTGGAGAAGCTCTGATTCTACAGTGCTGTCACCCCAGTGAGGCTAGGCAAGACAGCATCACTGATCTCCTTTGGAGACGTTTGAAAAGGACCAGTGGGTTTGGGAGAGTATGAGACCTCTGCAGCAGGTAGGTCTCATACTCCTGCTGGGCAGAGTATGAAACCTCTGCAGCTCCAGGCCCAATGGGAATGTCCCAATATGTGCCAGCATTTCTCAGTAATGCCAGCCCCTAGACAGTGCCACATGATCTATGATGTCTCACCCTAATTCATCTCTGAGCCACTACAAAGGTATGCAAGCCTGAGTGCCCCAGGCAAGGGACACACCATACTGCCAGTTTGCATCTTCCCAGTCTTTCCCAAGGAGCGTTGCTGGCCTGTCCTTCAAATGAGTGTCACCTGGAAATAGCTCCTTGCTCTTCTCATAGTGGGGAATCTCTAGATAGAACTCCACCTGCACCATCATGCCCCCTTGCCTGTGACATTGCATTGCTAGAACTAGATGGATCAGAAGCTGTTGCTCTTCTTTGAGGGGCCCTGTCATACTCAGCATTGCTTCGGCAGGAGAGTCCCCTGCAGGACCTAGGTCCTCCTTTTCTTGACATAGTGTCTCTAGGCACAGCACAAGATGATGGGAATCAATATACCAATCCAGCTCTGCCTGCTGGATGGGGAGTTGCCCTCAGGATGCAAGGGAATGCCCCACCAGTATCTTGGCCTGACATCTCTTGGGAATGAATCATGAGTCTTTCCAGAGCATGTAGGTCCCAGTACATCCTTCTGCTCTTCATGCATCACAGCCCTAGCATTTTCTATATATAGAAGTGGGAACTTCCCTTTTCAGCTTCCTGTGCCAGTTCCTGGGGCTGCAGGGTTTGGTACACATGATTACTCTGTCAGTCTAATCTGAAAGAGAGACATAAGGGGCAAATTATTCAGGCATTCTCATAGGGCCGCTCCACTGTTATGCCCTGGCCTATACTCCCGCATATGTTATATACCACATGTCATGGAAATGCATGTCACTTCCTATCATCTCTTCCCAATGGGAGCATCCTCTGTGCTATCTGTGGGGCTCAGTGCAACCTGACAACTACAACTGTCATTATGGCCCCAGCAAAGCCACTTGACTGCAGAGTGGAGAGGAAAACATGGGCCCCTGCTCTGCCACAGACAATGATTAGCAAGCAGGACAGAGGGACAGGTGCTGAAGGACCTAAACTGTTGTCTGCTCCTGCAGAGGACTTGCTGTACAGGGATCCACCAAAAGAGGTAGGAAGAGGCAAGGGAACTACTTCTAACCTGCCAACCTTTCCCCAGCCACATACCCAGGGAACTCTTAAGGTCTCTTTGGAAGCTGCTTACTGCTTGGCGCCAGAAGGGCAGGAAGGTTTCAGCAGCCCAGTTTGTGTAACAGACATGTTGAACACATAGGCCAGGGCTTTCCTTCTGAATCTCAAGAGAGGGGCAGGGCAGGGCAGGGCAGAGCAGGGCAGGAGGTTGTGCGGCTTATGCTCTCAGCAGTGGGGAGGTGCAGGGCTTCTATGCTCGCAGGAGCTGGGGTGTATATCAGACAAATACATGTGGAGGGACTTCAAACAGCCTCATGCACTAGAGTGGGGATAGGCCTGAAGCAATCTTTGTGAGGAGAGTTGTACCCAGGTCTGGGGACAAGCCCATCTTCTTCCCAGAGCAACAAGAAGGCAGCATCAGTAGATCTGTCTGTGAAGAGCAGAGATGAGTGAGAACCTGGGCACATGAGGAAAAATGGAGCAGTCTGGGGATTGCTGTGTCTGAAGCGCAAGGAGTCCCTGGAGCAGCATAGGCCAGAGGCACCCACATCTCAAAGGAGGGCATCTCACGTTGGCTTCCCTTCCCATTGGTATTATGTCAACCTGACAGCTTCTGGTGGCCAAAAGTAATACCTGGGAACAACCCCAGCAATTGACCCAGGTGCCTGTGCACAGATAGGTGGGGGCAGCCCACTTCTGAGCAGCAGAAAAAAAAAATGAGATGGCACCATGTGAGCAGCCAACTCAGGATCAGGTCTGGGGTCTGCACTACTAGTCTACCAGCTGGACTCCAGCCTAGCTCTGTCCTGGCCATGGTGTGGCCACAAAGGTGAGGGGTGGGACTGTGTGAAATGACCTGGGTGTCACTAACAACTTCTGTCTCTTTAAAGACTACAGGGAAAACTGGCTTCAGCCGCCTCAGCAGATAGGTCTGGGTCAGGAAAGACTGTAGGAAGGAGACCTCACATGCACACAGAAGCACCCTGGGTAGATCAATGGGCACTAGAGCAGAGGGGCTGATGTCCCACATCCTCACATCCCACTTTGCCCTTGGACCATGTCCCAGGAACCTGTCATGCCCTGAGCAGAGGCCTAGGCCATTTTTCATTCACCAACCCTGGCAGTGCCCCTTGCTGTCTGACATGTGGGGAAGTTTGCTGGAGCAAAGCCCAGAGCTGCTGCCCCACCAGCAGCACTAGCATGCCACTATGAAGGGTTAATCATCCCCACAGTGGCAGCAAGGAAGCACTGGGACCTTTAGTGCCTTGGCCAGGAGAGTTCTGGTGTGCAGTAGCAAGAGCCTACCATACAGAGCAGTCAGTGCTTCATCGCTCCTACACAGGGCCCAGACCCCAGT